ATATATATATATATATATATACATAAATAAGTCAATTCTATACTGTAAGCAATTTTTGAATGTAAGCAAATTTACATACCTCTTAGGAAAACTGTAAAAGACTGAAACCTAAAGGCCTGATTCTTAGAATATCCTTGAAAAGCATGAAGTGCTTTTGTGGTAATTATTTCAACTATCTGTTTATCTTCAGACAAAGAATAAAACATTTATTATTAGAATTAATTTTCTTATTAAAATATTGGATATTTTGAAAATCATAAGAAGACATAAATGCATTTTACCACCAAGAACTCTAAATTTTCTGTCTTCTTGAAGTGAAGATGAACATAGGTCACACAAAAAGTCGTTTCTTACTGTTGCAGATTCTGTAGCACCAGGAACATGCACTCTTATATACTGAAATCCTGAAAGAAAGCAGTGGTAAGTTAAATTTGCTTTCAGACTTACCTACCTATTTTCAATCATTTAATATGAATCTATCCAAATAATAATTAATTCAGTTTTGCACTTGGGTTCAAAGTAGATCAACTAACACTTATTGCATGGCTATTTCTTGCCAGACACTGTGCTAAGGCATTGGTATATTAAACAATGAATCCTTAGACACATAATTTGTATGTGTGACAATGAGAAACATTCTCTGCACATGTGGAATTCATTTGTAGAATGCTCAGAAAGAAAAGAAGAGGCACAGACAACTCAATGAGGTGGGGTGTGTCTTAGTTACTTTTCTTGTTGCTGAGACAAAATACCTAACACCAAAAGTTCAAGGAGGAAAGACTTATTTGGCTCACAGTTCACAGAGGTTTCAATTTATAGTTGGCTGGCTCCAAGGAAAGGGTAGCATGGCAGAGAGGCATCACAGAGAAGCAGTTCATGATGGGCAAAAGCAAAGCAATATGCAGTAAGTGTGAATGATGAGAGGCAAAACCACAGCTCCTTCTATCCCTTATATTTTATTTACCCTGAAGGGAGGGTAGAACTTACATCCTTAATCCTAGCATTGCACCATAAATCAGTACCAGTGTCACACATTCTAGACCAACTAACCCTGAAAAACCCCACCTATGACCGCATGAAACTTTGCCATAACAGGGTGAAAATGAAAAGATACCCTGTAAAAAGGCTGAACTGGTTAAGCCAAAGTTTGAAGACAGACTATAACAGTGAAAGGAAAGTCCATAAGCAAAATGTCATAAAAAATGTATTAAAAGAAGTGAAACTTCTGCAATATAAGAGCATTTATTAAATTGCTGAGTGGGTACAAAGGGGAAGAAGAATGTACTTCAGGATTATGCAAGGTAAGCTTATAAACACTGTTGTAAGATATGAAATTTATTCTTCCATTCTACATTTTGAGTGATTAGTAACTAAGTTGTGAACATGATTTGGAATTAGACAAATTGCGTGATTTTTTTAGTTTACACCTTAATAGTTACCTTTTGAAAGGGGGCATGCTTCCTCTGAACAAAGGAATCTTGCACCTTGTGTATACTTGGTTATAGTTGTCATTGCAATCACGATTCCTTGCATCATATAAAATCTCTGAGATGAATAATCAAGTGGAAACTCACAGAGATCAAGAACATAACTTGGCAGAGGAGGTAAATGTGTTAATTTCAGCACTATATTAATCTGATAAGAACATAAAAATAGTATTAATGAAAGGTATAGATACAACTGGGCTTGAAGTATGACATAAGTACACTGCAGAATAAATCAAGTAAGTTATTGGTAAGTGTTAGGAACTAAATTTTAAGCATGAGAGAAAAGAGATTTAAAATTAAGAAAATAAAAATTTTATAGACTAACATTTTAATTGG